TTCAAAATATTTAGAATGTTAACTGGTTGGAGGCAATTTTTTTGGTCTTTTTTATTGTTCTCTCTCCAGGATATAGTTTTGTGCCTTATTAAACTCTCAGTAAGTATTTGTTAAATTAATAAATAAATGACATGTTTAATAATCATAAATGGTGAAGAGCATCCCATTGGTTTCCAGTGTGTTTTGCAAAATGATTAGAACACATGGCTTGTAAGGCATCAGATACTTAGCAACTCTTTATTGACTTGAATGACACACCAGATGTTTTTACTTTTTTTTAGGTCACTACTTTAAATGTTTAAAAAGTATGTCAGTGATAAAAAAATACAAGAGTATTTCTAAAACAGTAGTTAAACAATTTCTATTTCAGTGACAAGTTTGGAAGAAAAGTCCATTTAAGTTAAATTTGTCTGTTGGCAAAAAGAATTTGTTGTCATAAAATTCATTTTGTGATAGTAATCATAACAAAATATAAAATTTTTTTCTTCCCCCTAAAACTCACCCTTTTTTCTTCTTCTTCATTTAGCATGAGTGACCTCATTATGAAAGTCGACGCCCTTATTTCCTCTTTGCCTGAACGTGTATCTCAGTACGATGTCACATTTCCTAAAGAGAATCACAGGTGAGAATGAATGTCTGTTTTCTGTCCCTGAATGCTATATACTTAAGAGTTACCATTTGTATTAAGGATATGTTGTTCTGTGCCGTCAAGTCTGAACTGACTCATAGCAGAACCCCCAGCAGGTTTTCAGAGACGCAAACAGCAGAGGAGGAGATTGTCAGAGACACAAACAGCAGAGGGGGAGATTGTCAGAGACAGTATATAGAATAGGAGCAGATTGTCAGAGACAGTATATAGAATAGGAGGAGGTTGTCAGAGACAGTATATAGAATAGGAGGAGATTGTCAGAGACAGTATATAGAATAGGAGGAGATTGTCAGAGACAGTATATAGAATAGGAGGAGGTTGTCAGAGACGCATACAGCAGAGGAGGAGCTTGTCAGAGACAGTATATAGGAGGAGATTTCCCATCCTTCTTCTGATGAACAGCTGTTGGATTCTGACTGCCTGCCTTGTGGTTTCAGTGCGGCTCCTTAACCACGAGACCACCAGTGCTCTCTATTCCTAATGTAGAAAAATGAGCGTAAACGTTCCCGCCGTTTGAGTCAGTTCTGATTCAAATGCTATGTAACAACAAGGAGAATGGTGTTGCGTTCATAGTCAAAAAGACTATCCTGAAGTGCAGTGCTCTGATAGACGCGCTAGTACGGCCAATAGCCACACACACACCTATTTGTTGTTGCTGTAGGTACCATCAAGTCAAAACCGACTTATAGCTGAGCCTCCAGTGTCTTTTCAAAGACAGGAAAGCATATGGGAGGAGATTGTTCATCTTTTTCAGCAGAATCACTAGTGAATTCAAACCATAAGCCTTTGATAGGTCTTTGAAACCCGCACAACTCCTTACCACGAGGCCGCCAGAGCTCTCTCCCATACCTACTAGCCTTTTTTCACAGGTGAGGAAGCTCATAAGCAGTCTCTGTAAAGCTCTTGACTTCTTACATAGACGTTTGAAGTCCATAGGTCGGACAGTGAGAAAGCAAAGATGGTTGTGAAGAGACAGGGATCAAGGGCAGCATGGAAGCCACAAGCCTGAGCTGAAATCCAAGAACCGAGTGAGGCCCACATTAGCTTTTCATTGCCTCTGCCCTTGGTGTATAGTACTTTTCCTACAGAAGATGGGAGCCCTCTGTTAGGAAGCTAAAGACATGGACCAAGACTCACAGAAACTAGGATGTTCTGAGGGAAGGTAGAACAATTCTAGATGAAGCTGTTGCCTTATACTAACAAGGTGATTCAGCAGGCAGATACTAAAATGCGGGAGCTCTGGGCTGATTGTTCCCTCCATTCAGCCTTGTGTATCCCCATGTGACTCCTCGTGGCTAGCCCAAACCAGGCACTTACAGGAAAGTGAATCTAGGAAATGTCATTTGTCCTAGCCAAGTTGGGAGATTTTAAAGCCACTGCATAGACAAAAGGGAATTATTGCCACAGTGTTGTGACATTTATGTCTCTAGATTGGCCTGGTGGTAAGGAGGTGCATTTGCCAACCCCAAAACACACAGTTTGAATCCACCAGCTGCTCTGCAGGAGAAAGATCGGCAGGCCTGCCTTTAGCGATCTCCCGCCTCTGAAAACCACTGGAGAGTCAGCTATGAGTCATTCCAGCTCAGACGGTACTTACCGACAACTAAGAAGCATGGCAGTGGGGAGTGATAGTGTACTTGTACTCAAGAAGACCTTTTCCAGATGAGTCCTGAGGAGTGGTGCAGTGACTGATAGGATGCTAGCCATACGCGTACGAGGAAGACCTGCTAATACCATTGTTCAAATCTGTGCATCAACAACTGCAGCCAAAGAGGATTCCTCCCAACCTTTGCAGTCCAAAATTGACAGAACGTACAGTCAAGATGGATTAATAATAATTGGTGACTGGAATCAAAGAAAAGGGACTAGTATTTCAAAGTTACTGACTTAGTGACAGAAATGAGGCTTAAGATTGACTTTTTAAACTTTGTACACCCAGTGATTATTCATTGCAGATACCTTAAAAACACAAATGGCACCTGTACACACAGGGCCTCATCTGATCGATTGCACAGGAATCTGATTGACTACATGTGTGGAATGAATTATCGGAGAAGCTCAAATCAGCAGTCACAACTGAGCCAGGTGCTGACGTTAGAACAGACCATCAATGACACATGCGCAGATTAAAACTGAAGCCAAAGATAATGAGAACAAGTCCAAAAGAACCAAAATATAACTAGTTGTGAGGATGGCCGAGTGATCTAAGGCGTCAGACTCAAGTTTGACTTTCTCTAACTGAGGATTCTTGTCTCCAGTGGAGGCATGGGGTCGAAGCCCACTTATGAAAAAATACAGCTTTGAGTCTATTCCACTTACATTTAAAACCATCTCAGAAATAAATTTGTGGCATTAAAGTGATTGAAGACCAAATGAGTTACAGGATAACAAAGAATATCATCCATAAAGAAGGCAAAAGGTTATTTCAAAGACAAGGGAAAGAAAAAACCAAATTAGATGTCAGAAAAAAGACTGAAAAATCATATAGACTGTCAAGAAGCCAAAATAAAAGGAAGAAATGCTGAAGTACAAAAGCTGAAGGGAAGATTTCAAAAGGCGACTCGAGAAGACAAAGCAAAGTGTACAACAAAATGTGCACAGACCTGGAATTAGAAACTAAAAAGAGACAAACTCAGCTTAGCGTTTCACAAGGTGATAAAAGCCACAAAACTAATCCAAGCCTTGAGATGTGGTAGTCCTGGGAGATCCTGCATGAAAAATCTTGAATGATCCAGAAAACATCAAGAGAAGATTGAGGGAATACACAGAGTACCAAAGAGAATTGATTGACATTGAACATTTTCAGAAAGTACCATATGAATAAGAGCCACTGAAAACAGAGGTTGAAGTTCAAGCTGCACTAAAGGCATTAGCAAAATGTAAGGCCCAGGAATTGATTGGGATACTCATTGATATGTTTCAGTAAACAGATGTGGCCCTGGATGTGTCCACCAGGCTCTGCATGGCCAGGTGGCTAGAAGAGATCCATACTCGTTTCCTTTCCCAAAAGAGGTGATCCGAGGTAATATGGAAATTGTTAAACAATATCATTATATCCAATACAAGTAAAATATTGCTGAAAACGATTAGAACACCACTACATCGACAGAGAACTTCCAGAAATTCCAGAAAAGGTCATGGCACTGGGAATATCATTACCAATGTCAGATAGATCTTGGCTGAAAGCAGAAAATACCAGAAGGATTTATGGTTTCCTGTTTATGCAGAGGCATTTGACTGTGTAGATCATAACAAATTATGACTTCACTGTGTGTGACAGTCTCACTGTCTCTTACTCACATACCCGGATTATCTCCTTACTGTGTCAGTCGATCTCATCTGGGGTCTTCCTCTTCTGCACTCGCTGTTGTTCCACCCTTCCAAGCATGATGTCCTTCTCCAAGGACTGGTCCCTTCTGGCCTTGTGCCCAAAATAGATGAGAAGGAGCCTCAAAATCCTTGCCTCCAAAGAACAACTTGGTTTCACCATCTCCACGACAGACCTATTATTTTTTCTTGGCAGTCCAAGGTATGTTCAGTTCTCTTCTCCATCACCACAGCTCAAAGGTTTTGATTCTTCTTCTGTCACCGTTAGTCATTGTCCAGCTCTCTGATGCATAGCAAGTAATTGCCAAGACCTTAGGCCCTAGACTGACATCATTCCATCCATTTTCAAAGTAGCAGGCCTTCCAAAACCCTGTGCACAAAATAGCACACTTCAATTAGACTAGCACATACAGAACCTGCGGCTGAGCTCTTTGGGAAACACAGAGGAGGAGGAACAACTCTCACAGACACCAGTGATTGGAACGTGGATTGTGAGAAGCATGACTGTAGGAAAATTGGATATTGCTAAGGAAGAAATGGAATGCATACATTTTGAAGTCATGGGTATTGGCAAAATGGGACATTTTAAATCAGGTGACCATATGATCTGTTATGCTGGAAATTAAAAAGTAAGGGGAAAAATGGGGTTGCATTCATAGCTAAAAAGGCCATTTCCAGATCCATCTTAAAATAGTGTTGTAAGCAACAGGATAATATCCGTATGCATACAAGGAAGTCCTTCAAAGTCATTTAAATATATGCACCAATGACCAGGCCAAAGAGGAAGACGTAGATCATTTCTACCACCTTTAGCATTCAGAAATCGGACAAACATGCAACCAAGATGCATTAATAATAATGGGTGACTGGAATACAAAAGTTGGAAAAAAGAAGAAGGTTTAGTAGTCAGAAAACATGGACTTGGTGACAGAAACAGGGCTGGAAGTAGAATGATAGAATTTTGTGCAGTCAATGATTTTTTTATTACAGATACCTTTTATAAGGAACACAGATGATGACTGTACACATAGACACTTTGAATATGTGTAATTAATTGTATTACCGTTAGATACCAAACAAGCTATAGTAAAAACCCAGGGCAGTGTAGAGACCCTAGGGTAGGGTAGGGTAGGATAGGATAGGGTCGGGTCAGCTCCATTGTTGATAGCATCATTGTGTGTTGTTATTGCACCTTACAGGAAGTTTAATAAAGGGAGCCCTGGTGGCTCAGTGGCAAGGAGTTGCATTGCCAACCAAAAGGTATGTGGTTCAAGTTCAGCAGATGCTCTGTGGGAGAAGAACGAGCATTCTCCTCATGTGTGATTTACAGCCTCTGAAAACCCACTGGAGGTTCAGCCATGAGTCCTGACTCAGTGACATATAACAGCAAGTTTAATAAAATCCAACCCCCAGGTGACTGATTGTCTTTCTCTTCTATGACCCGGTTGGATTCGAACCACTGGTGCTTTGGTGAGCAGTGCAGCATGTAACATATCATGCCAGCAAGGGATCCTTGAGTTGTGTTCAAGTATGACCTGAATACACTAATTTTATCATTCTCAAATTTGACCAAATATATTCACCTACCTATAAAAAGAATCATTGATTCCCTTTAAATTATCTTATATGGTCCATGATAAGATATGTGGGTTGATTTTCAGAATGTTCAGGTAATTGTATTGAGTGTGTGTGCATTTGTTTTCAAAGTACTGTTTTGGGTTATTGATATGATCATACTTTGATTTTCTGTGACTTTTACCAGTTTTTGTAAGTATAACTTAGTTAGACTCAAACTTTCATCCTCCTGTGGTAAGTCGCCTTAACATTGTGTTGATTCTTTGAGAAAGAAAGCAGTTTATAAAGATGTGCACAGCTAATGAAGTCATTCCTATATCCCCTGTAATCTTACTTTCTGTTTTCCCCAGTGTTATAAAGATAAATCCGAAAGAAAATGATACGTTCTTTGACGTGGTTGCTGTTGCTGACCCCCTGACGAGAGAAACACAGAAAATGGCCCAGCTTTTAGTTGTAAGAGAATATAAACGGAATAGTCTCATTTTACTGTTTATAATGAGTCTTTTTAAGCCTGCTTTTAAAAAATAATTAAATCTTACCATATCCTTATTCTGTACTTTGTCCAGTATTTTAAATACGTTGTTATATTTCCTTGTAGAAAATGACATTACATAGTTCTGCACAGGGTATTATAACAGTACAGTGTTAAGTATCTTTCTCAAGGTTTGAAAAGTACCTCTTGGAGAAGTTAAACTCCTCACTCACATTTAAATTTAAGGAACTGTAGATAAAGTTAACCTTCAGCGTCAAGCTGAAAGCTTGGGAAACATATGGGAGTTGTGTCACGTTGATTTGCCACTCTCACTGAGGACAAAGTAACTGCCTTCCATACCGTTCAGGTTTCCTCATCTGGCAGTCCACGTGTGTAAACCATCCCTAGTTGGAAAGCCTCATCCTGGGGACCTCATGTGTCTTCTGTTTCGTTCAGTAATCTCTGTGTGAAGCAGCTTCTATCTTATGCTGTGGTCCAGCTCCTCCCACCCTCTCTGTATTTCTGCCAGTCAGAAGGGAAGGACAGAACACCGCTGCTGGACACGTTCATGCAGTCCCTGCTGGACCTGCCCAAAAGAAGCTGGAAATGATACTCTTAAACTGAATTGCCTTGAGCCTTGGAAAAACCTGAAAGCCTTAAAAAAAATCCGTAAAAAAGAGTTAACTGTTAGCAGACAACCTGGAAATTATACTCTTAAACTGAATTGCCTTGAGCCTTGCAAAAGCCTGAAAGCCTTAAAAAAAATCCGTAAAAAAGAGTTAACTGTTAGCAGACAGCATTCTCTCAAAGGATGTCTTAGTGCTCACCATTTTACTGAGAAATTCTAGGGTTGAAAAAAACATTAATTTAGCTTTCAGTAGTTAAATTTGGAAAGCTGGATAGTTTTGCTAGTGATGTTCTAAATTTGGGGGAACTGTCTTTTTTCCATTGTTCTAAATTATTAACGGATGTTCTTTTTTTTTTCATCTTCAGAAATTAAGCCTATTCTTTGAGGGCTGGCTTACCTTTTTAAAGCAAAAAAACAATTCCATATTAATTGTGCTCAATGGTATCAGTGGTCATGCTGTGTGTACGGATGTGTATTCCTTTAAAATGTTAACATTCACTTCTCTCAATACTTGGCTTGTACTGCAAAAGCTCTCCAGTTTTAAATACATCTGTCATCTTGGATGACACTTGGTACACCTTTGTGAGTCTGGGCAGTGTCACGGATGAGGAGGGCACACTTAATTCCATAGCTGATTACCTTTCCCATGTTTCTTTTAGCCTTTGTTTATTTTCAGATAGGAGCTTATTGTTCAGAAAACAGCAATTATCATCATATCTGTAAGGAGAGAGAGAAATACAATGCTTTGTAGTATGCAAATTCCCTATTTTTCTAGAGTGTTATTATTCAGATAGACAGTACTGCCTACATATGAAAACCTTTTATAAAGGTAGAATTTAGAAATAAATATGGAATTATTAGATTCCAGTTTACAACAGTCAGTAGTAACAGCCCCTCCGGTAAATTTTCAGAGAATGTAAATCACAGGGGAAGACATTGCCCAGCTCTCTCCTGCAGAGCAGGTGACAGATTCAGACTGCTTTTGCTTTGGTAACACAACTCCTAGCGGAATCTGCAGTAAGAAAGGAATAGTATCTCATTTAACACATGGCAAAACCAAGGCCTTCTTAGTAGCAAATACGAGTAGTAAGTAATGTTTGTTGTTATGTGCCGTCGAGTTGCTTGCAACTCAGTGACCCTATGCACAACAGCCCTAAACTCTGCTCTGTCCTGTGCCAATCACACTGTCTCTGATACACCCATCCCAATTACCCCAGTCACTGAATCAATCC